AAAATCCCCAAAAATCCCCTAAAAACTCCCAAAAACTCCTGAAATCCGGGGTTTTTTTGGGATGAGCAACCTCTGGAATTCCCAAAATTCCCAAAAATTCCCAAAATTTCCCCCCAAAATGTCCCCGCAGGCCGAGCTCTCGTGCGGCCCCTCCCCCCTGTCCAGCTCCGCCTCCAGCGAGGCCGAGGCCGAGGGCGGGGCCAGCGACGGCAGCGACGGCCGGAAGTGCGGCCGGAAGTGCGCGAGGAACGCTGGGAGCGACGCGCGGCATGCTGGGATTGACGCACGGAACGCTGGGATTGACGCACGGAACTCTGGGATGGACGCACGGAACGCTGGGATTGACGCACGGCATGCTGGGATTGACGCGAGGAACTCTGGGATTGACGCGTGGAGCACTGGGATTGACGCACGGCATGCTGGGAACGACGCGCGGCATGCTGGGATTGATGCAAGGAATTCCGGGATTGACGCAAGGAGCTCTGGGATTGACACACGGCATGCTGGGAACGACGCGCGGCATGCTGGGATTGATGCGAGGAATTCCGGGATTGACGCAAGGAACGCTGGGATTGACGCGCGGCATGCTGGGATTGACGCAAGGAACGCTGGGATTGATGCAAGGAATTCCGGGATTGACGCAAGGAACTCTGGGATTGACGCACGGCATGCTGGGAACGACGCGCGGCATGCTGGGATTGACGCGAGGAATTCCGGGATTGACGCGAGGAATTCCGGGATTGACGCTTGGCATTCTGGGACTGACGCACGGAACTCTGGGAAGGAGGCGCGGAACTCTGGGATTGACGCGAGGAACGCTGGGAAGGACACACGGAATTCCGGGAAGGACGGGAAGAATCCCGGGAGCGACGCGCGGAATTCTGGGATTGACGCTTGGAGCTCTGGGAAGGACGCAAAGCATTCTGGGATTGACGCTCGGAACTCTGGGAAGGACGCGAAGAATTCTGGGATTGACGCTCGGAACTCTGGGATTGAGGCCTGGCCCGAGGCCCTGCAGGCTCCAAGGTGAGAGCGGCGCTTCCGGGTCGGGGAAATTCCCGATTTTTTTTCCTTTAAAATTTTGCTTTTTTTTTGTAAAAATTCCCGTTTTTTACTAAAAATTCCCAAGTTTTGATTGAAATTCCAATTCTTTTTTGAAAGGTCCCATTTTTTTTCCTAAATAAGTCCCAATTTTGGGGTAAAAATTCTCCTTTTTTTTGTAAAAAATCCCA